ACCCTTTCGCACGAAATGAGGGTCGATCGTCAAAAACTGAGGAAAAATTGCGATTTTACTTGTGCTAAAGCAACCCTTTCACACGAAATGAGGGTCGATCGGCAAAAACTGAGGTAAAATTCCGATTTTACTTGTGCCGGAGCAACCCTTTCGCACGAAATGAGGGTCGATCGGTAGAAACTGAGGTAAAATTGTGATTTTTCCTGTGCCGGAGCAACCCTTTCGTCTGTGTGTAAAAGCGTCTGTGTGTAAAAGCTTCTGTGTGTAAAAGCGTCTCTGTGTGTAAAAGTCTCTGTGTGTAAAAGCGTCCGTGTGTAAAAGCGTCTGTGTGTAAAAGTGTTTGTGTGTAAAAGTGTTTGTGTAAAAGCGTTTGTGTGTAAAAAGCGTCTGTGTGTAAAAGCGTCTGTGTGTAAATGTGTTTGTGTGTCAAAGCGTCTGTGTGTAAAAAGTGTCTGTGTGTAAAAAGCGTCTGTGTGTAAAAGTGTCTGTGTGTAAAGGCGTCTGTGTGTAAAAGGGTCTGTGTGTAAAAGTGTCTGTGTGTAAACGTGTCTGTGTGTAAAAGTGTCTGTGTAGAAGCGTCTGTGTGTAAAAGCTTCTGTATGTAAAAGCTTCTGTATGTAAAAGCTTCTGTCTGTAAAAACTTTTGTGTGTAAAAGCTTCTGTGGGTAAAAGCTTTGTGTGTAAAAGCGTCTGTGTAAAAGCGTCTGTGTGTAAAAGTGTTTGCGATGCTATTGTCTTGCACTTCTCACTATTTTGTCTTGATACTCCTCTTCTCGACTGCCTATAACACAGCTTTCATATACCGTTTCTAAAATTGCATCTCCATACTAACAAGAGAAGACCCTGCTCCTCTACGCTCTCGGGCCATCCGTCGTCTAGTTGGAATGATGTTTTTGGTTTCAGTCGACTTTTTGTTTCCCCTACGTGTGTCTCTTCATGTTTCTTCATTCCATCCAGTCATGTTCTTGGGGAGATTGTCCGGAACTTGATTCTCGATCCCACCTGTGCATGGCTTTGGTCAAGGCTGTAGGCTCTGGGAGGACCCATACAAACTGTAAGGAGTTACACCAGTTGCAGAACCTTGCAGCATAACATGACAAGGCTCCGAAGTGCGTTTCCAAAAGTCCTTGTTTGATACTCTATGCTTAAATATTGGTTCAGACAACATTTGTTTACATAGTCAAAAATAAGACAAGCAATCTTGATTTCTGGCCATCTTCCCAAAATTATCTTTGTCAGTTTTAGGAAGCGACGATTAAAGCCGCCATGTTTTGCTAAATCCCATGAAGGTTTTCTAAAATAACGGGTACCCCTCATCGAAGTCATGGATAACGACTGGGGATCCCGAAGAACGAGCATTTTTTGGACAGACCCAAATCCCAAATCCATTAAACAGTTGGTCGATAAAGCCCACTATAGGTCTATTGAAGTCTACCATAAACCGTGATGTTAGTGAAAAACCAACTTAGCTGACCTAATCCCATTGAATCACCGTGAAATCCCATGAAATCCCATGAGCTCACCATATGAAAATGCTGGTAGAATCATCATTTTCCTACGGTTTTCCTATGGTTTTCCTCAACCAGGATGTTGTTTTTTTCAACCAGGCACCGGCTGGGGCTTTCCTCTTCAAGCTGTGAAAACTGATGGCCAGGACACACCGGAAAATATCCGAATCTGGAAGAAAGTTGGTCCTGAAGCCTGGGAACATGCGCTGCTCGGCCAGTCCTGTGTATATATTTAAAAGGAGTGGTTGAGAGTCAATAAATCCCGCAGATTTGTTTGACTGATGATGGTTTCAGATACTATACATTGTATCAATAGATATATATATATATACATGATATATATATATATATATTATGTACATATTATGTATATAGACACATAATTATATAGACATAATCCCTGTGATCATAAGATAGCAACTGAAATTATAAGTTCTGAGTCGACTTTCGCCCACAAAAGCGACCAATCCCTAAAGCCGGTCGAGTGCGGGCATGGCTCTCAGCTGTTTAAAACCCAACAGTTCTGCAAGGTGGTCAACCCAATCATAAAGTATTAAACCAATATACCCTCTGGTTATTTAACATAGCCATGGAAAATCACAATTTTTAATAGGAGAACCATCTACAAAAGGGCCATTTCCCATGGCTATGTTAAAAACCAGAGGGTATATATATAATTTCACCATTTGGTTGCTGTAGACCTTATAGATCATGGGTGTATATAGGATGTATTTCATTTGGTGCATCCAGCCAAAACCGCGAACTTCCAAGGCGCAGTTTTCTTTCATTCTCCAACGTTTCCTGCATATGTATGGTGCGTATATATATATATATATATACATAGAGAGTGACATAGGAAGAGAGGGAGAGGTGGAGAGAGCAATGAGAGAGCTGTCTACCTATCTATCTATTTGTTTGTTTGTGTATCTATCTCTCTATCTCTCTATCTCTCTATCTCTCTATCTCTCTATCCCTCTATCTCTCTATCTCTCTATCTCTATCTCTATCTCTCTATCTATCTATCTATCTATCTATATCTCTATCTCTATCTCTATCTCTATCTCTCTATCTCTCTATCTCTCTATCTCTCTATCTATCTATCTATCTATCTATCTATTGTCTAGGATAACAAACCCCTTACTAACCAGCTACTTTGTTCAGAAGGTCCTCCAAGTACTGAGCAACTGGCACCCAGGAATGAGGCTTTGAAGAGCATGCCACGCAGCGCACGTGCTGCATCCGTCTACGCCGACGCGTTCCAGTATATGTGCCATGACCTCAAGGGCTGACCGGGCAGCCGAGGACAGCCGATGTCCCTTAAGGGATGATGGTCAAAGATGAGGTTGCACAAAACTGGTGGAGTGCGGATGATGACGATGATGATGATGATGATGATGCTGGTGGTGGTGGTAGTGGTGGTGGTGGTGTTGATGATGATGAAGGAGGAGGAACATGATTATTCATTGTCATTGCCATTGTCATTGTCAACATCATCACCACCATCATCATTGTAGAGGATTCGATCAAGACTCATTCTCCAATGCGGGTCCTTTTGGGATTGTCTCAACATTTCGGAAAGCCCAAACCACATTTGGTTTGCCTTCTTTGTCAAAGACCAGGTCCAGGTGTTCATAAAACAAGTGACTGCCATTTTGGGACATCTCCCCCATTTTTAGACACATCCATATCATATCGTTGGTTAATGTTGCTCATGTTATATCCATGATATGTATCGTTCGTTTGATTCCCATCTTTGGGGATTACGGTAATCATCTTCAACGGTCAGTTTCAATGAAACAAAAAGACATGGACAGTTCCGATAATCCACTTTCAAGATGTTTTACATCTTTAAGTGTTTTTTTGTCCAGTGGGATATATATATATATATAAATATATATCCCATTGACAATTCAATAACTATGAATATTCAAGGTTTCAAAGAGTATCATATTCACGATTTCCAATATTCAATGATATCAGCTAATTGCAAAAGGTATATTCATTATAATATTGGACATTTAAAAGGTATCGTATTCCAATATTCACAAAAGAAAAATCCAATGTAACATCTTTCATACCACCGCGCCAAGGAGTTCCGCCCATGGCATTTTGCGGCAAGCACTGACCGGCGGTGGACAGGCGTGGCCTTCAACTGTTCTATTACATGTGGCATATATATATATATATATGTATATATGTATATACAGATGTACATTATATATAGTAAAATAGTGATATCTTTATATACATATGTATATATATATATATATATATACATAGAAATCATTCTCCGACCTGAAAGGTTCGGCCATTTGGGGATAATTGCCCCTACTAACCCTCATCTACAGCTACGTTGCAGTGAGGTTGGTATGATTTATCCATACAATAATATAAAATACACATATCACTAAAGCAACCTTCAAGCAAAATAGACACGTGCTTCATATATATATATACATATATATGTATATATATACATAGATGTACAATATTTGTATAATCATCATCAAAATGGGGTTGATATATATATATATATGTATATATATACATAGATGTACAATATTTGTATAATCATCATCAAAATGGGGTTGAAATATATATATATATAATTATAGTCAATAAAGGGGGCTATAAACATTTCGGGAATTGTGCAACCAACATAGCGCACGTTTTTTTTCGGACACATATCTTGACCACGTTGAGGCTGGTTTCCCTCGGGTGATCAGTTTGTGTCGTAAAATGATGATCATCCACTCAGAGACGATGATGTCTCTATATGTATCGAGTTTGCTCCATGTAGTTTGATGTTTTACCATGTCTTACCTATAAGATCCTATAAAGAAGTGGTGATTGTTCCATAGCAAACTGTTAGTTTCTCGGAGGATATAAGTCAGAATCGAAGAACCTTTGATCCCCAGATTGGGTCATGTTTAAAGAACTTCTCCGCACCAGCTTTGTCCACTCATGACTGGTGACCTTGCCCAAGTCTTGCCTATGATTGTCCCAGTTACAACTGGTTTACAATAATGATATATAGCATTGTTAAACCTTATAAGGTTACAGGAATTATAAGCCGATTTATACGTGTTAATGGCCATAACTGTGGTCATTCTCCGCACATCTTGCTGTTGGTCTCGTCAAACACCGGGACCATGGGAACTATTCGAGGAGTTCCTGCGCAACGCACGGCGCATGCAAAAGCTTGGGCCACAGGAGGAAGGACTGAGGCGCCTTGTGGTTGTCAAACCCTTGGACTTTGTTCGTTTTTGTTGGTGGATTATGAGGGATTTAATGAGACTTAATGGGGATTAAATGGAATTTAAAGGCATTTACAGGGTTTTCATGGCACATACCCTCGGGTTATTCAACGTAGCGAGCTGGAAAATCACTAGTTTTAGTAGATAAATCATGATGCATCATCTGTAAATGGGTCATGTTGCATAGCTGTGTTAAATAACTTCACAGGGTAATTTGTATTACGTGTAACAGAACCATTAGAAGTTCAAGCAACTTAGTTGGGGAGCTGAAGAGCTGGAAGCCAAGAGGATGATAATGTGGTAAACCTGCAAAGTGGGGCCCCCAATTATGAGTTGGTTTATAAACCCCGTTAACAATACATAAGTCCCCCAAAGCACGGCTGGTTTATACTTAATATATAACTAGGCTTTGTGGTAGATGTATAGTTAATCTTACTATATTAGTTAATCGTGTAGTAGATAAGTCGACCCGGCTAGTTTGTTGTTTATAGCTAACGTTTCACCAGGGTTTATGGTAGATGCAGGTTCATGGATGTATCATGATGTAGCATGTTTTTATGTTTTACCGAGAAAGAAAATGAAGTACTGCAAGGAGGATTGGGCTTCATCTTTGAGGGTTGCTTCTATCTGGCCGCACCCTGGCCTGTGCGCGATCCCTCGGTAGCTCTGCGTCTGAATCTTGGTGCAGTTGGGACGTGAATGGGAATGGCCGGCAAGTACATGGGCGTCCAAAATACACCACCAAAAAAAGACAGTTTGTGGAAGTAAAAAGAACAAAAACATAAAAACCCTGTGTTCAAACAAATTCGTTCATATCTTTTGATGTGCAAGATTCTTCCAGCTAGGAAGTGGCAGCTATATTCTAACCAAGTTGGAAGATTTTGGGGAACGGTTGGGCACATCCTGAGTGATGGCCCCACCTACTAATAGTAACTAATGCAGTCAAAAGGCATCGTAAGCACATCCACGAAGTGGAATGGTCCTGGTTCCCTGGTGATGTGATGCACATCTAGGGGCCGCTGTTCGGATGTCGCCGGATGCCGAGGATGCAGAAAGCTCTGGCAGTGAAGAAGTCCAAGCGGAACTTTTATTACATGGGTTACTTGGCCGCGGTCTGTAAAGGAAGTCACCTGTGAAGTCCAAGGTTGAAACTGTAGGTTGGCAATCTTTGATATACATGTATTATGTAATTGTGTATCATTATTTATTGTTTAGATTGAAACTGTGAATATGTTTGTCTTTTTTTGCATACTGTGCGTTTTGTTTTCAATGATGTTTTACTTATGATCCCCGCTCTCAAGTGAGATAATGACCTCCACAGGGTGACCCAATGACTTACTCATGAAGGGAGCGGAGAGGGAAAACCTTGCATCGCTTGTTGATCTTTGAAGATGAAAGTATAGGTTGACTATGGCTTATAGTAGATATATCAATAGTTAAGGGGTATATATATATATATCTTACAAACCAAGTTACATCACTTGGGGGGCCTCACCTTGTAATTCGACAACAGTTTCCATCCTGTTTGCCTGTTTGGCTATCTCCCTGCTTTATTTCGTGAGAAGCAAAGCATTTTCCTGAAAAATGTCATGGAGAACCAGCAAACCCTGGATAGACATGATAGAAATGGTTCACATTCACGATTTCTCCGATCCATGCCCCAGATACTTTGGCGCTTTTTGCGTTTAGCTGTTTTATAACGAAGGTTATAACCATTTACAAACAATTTGCAGGGTCCTCGCAGCTAACTAATTAGCGGGAGTTATAACCACTTAGCTCAGCAAATCCTCGTGATCAGGAAAATGGCCACGAGGGTCCCACAAAAAGGCCACGAGGGATTCCAAAAAAACACGCACGAGGGGGCAACATTCAGGCCAAAGGACATATTGAAAAACACACCGGAGGTTGCAAAAAACACAAAAAGGACCACTCAAATTTTCAATGCAGCAGCAAAAAAACAGGAACAACCCGTCTCCAAAAAGAAGCAGGCCAAATATCAGGATGCAAATTTTGGACTTTGCGGGCTGTGCTTTGTGAAACAAGCCCTCTCTTCAGGCGATAGGTGGGCATAGCTTCCGTCAACTGGGTGACAGATTCAGCCATGGTGGGGCGAGCCTCCACCAAGTTGGTGAGGCGAGCCTTCACTCCAAGTTCAGGATGTATTCCTTCACCTGCACCCATGCCTCCTTCGCATCCTGGCGTTTCCAGCTGAAGGCCTTGTCCTTCTTCTCACCATCAAGTTTGACCCTGTAGTTGGTCGACTTGGGGCATATGTAAACTGTAGCGTTCTTGTGGCGAACGGGCTCATGTGCAGCTGTCCCAGGGAATGGCAAGACCTCTTTCTTTTTCTTCGGGCTTGCTTTGGGCGCAGCATTCTTGGTCTTGGGAGGCGTACTCTTGGCCTTGGCCACAGCAGATGTTTTCTTTGCTGTGGCTTTGGCCTTTCCCTTTGGTTTGCTTTTGGCTTTTACCTTCGGCATGGGCACGTCATCGCCCTCGGTGGTCTCTTCAGCAGCGGTCTTCTTTCTTTTTTGGCCGCCAATGGCTGCCAAGATGTCATTCGCCATGGCATCTACGCTTTTGGGTTCCAGCGGAGGCAATTCCTTGCTGTCCTTTGCAGGCAGAGATTCGCAGGGTTCGCCTGCAGCAGGCCGAGCTTTGCTGGTTTCACTTACAGCAGGACGAGCCTTGCTGATTTCTTTTGCACCAGGACGAGCCTTGATGCTAGGTTCTTCATTACTTGGAAGCGATGTCTCGAGGTCGACTTCATCCTTTGGGTCTTGCTTGCCTGCCAAGTTGTGAGAAGCAGCTGGCCCGTTTGCCAACATGAGTGGTTCCACCTGTGCAGAGGCAGCGCTTGGCATCAACTGTTTCCGGCGTGTCATGTTCAGCTGCACTCCAGAATTGTTTCTCATCATGCTGGCGAAAGCTGCTGCCATGTCAGGGTTGCTCATGGCATTCATGAGCATCTCCTGGAAGTTGTTGCCAGTGCGTAGTCGCGAGGTTCGCTTTCCCCAGGCACCTCGCACTGATGTGTGCGTGTCCCTTGCAGGTAGCACAACTTGTAACCATCCAAGCGCGTGAGGATCCAGACGGCTTGGCTCTGGCTTTTCTTGTCCAAACGCTTTCATGAATATGGGGCCGGGCAATTCTGCAGGATCCATTGGGTAGTTGGTGATCCCAGACTGCGTAAAGCCTTTCAATCCTCTGAGCACAGATTTCAAATCCCGCACCGTATTCAAAGCATGGACGCCGGTGATGTTAAGTTCTTCCAGGGTCCCTTTGTGCGACGTCAAATACAGAATTGCGACTGCATGCACCACAGTCGGCTCTGTTGGGTTCAGCAAACCCAGGGCTGCCATTCTTTGCGCTGCCAAGTTGACCTTGTCAGTCAGCCCATCCGAAGCCAGTTTTTCCCAGTCCTTCTTCAAGAAATAGTTGTCCAAGTGCAGACATGTCTGCCTTGGTTTTTCCTTGTTCTTCTTATTCCCTTCGTTGCAGCTGTTCTCTGCGCCTGTCTGAACCTTGGCTTGCACCAGTTTCACTAAAGCTTCACGCCATGCCTGGGGCACGGTAGCTTTCTCAAGCTTTCTAAGCATGCTGGCCCCTGCTTCTATGGTTATGGGCGGGGCGCGTTCAATATCCAGCATGCAGCTTTTCAACAGGGGGTCTAAGGCGTCCTTTTCAAGGAACCCCCCGCAGCTCTTTTGGAGAGCAGCGAAGTAGTCAAGCATCCCATCAAAGCGGGCTTCAGCCATGTGGTTTGTCCCTACAATCACAAGCAAAAGCTTCGCTCTCAATGTTTCTGCGGGCAAGCCTCGCAGCAACCCGTGGTCAGCTTGAACCAGCGTGGAAGAGGAAATAAACTCATGCAATCTTTGCCCACCTGTGAGAGTGCAACGGGCTTCTGGGCGGTAACACTTGCAAGTTATTGTTTTTAGCGCAAGTTGTGGATCCGTCGTGGTTACGCATCGCAGCAGGCGAGCCTTGCTTCAAAACTGGTATGATGGTGCAGGCGAGCCTTGCACATTCAGCCGGAGTCAGAGCTTGAGGAAGAAAGAAAGCCACGCAGGCGCCATGCGGCAGGGAGTCTTGGTTTCTGACAGGGCCTTCCGATGCTTGCCGTGCTGGCAGGTCGCTTCTTGGTGGAAGGCCCCGCACGTTCTTCACCCAAAGGCTGTGCCCCATCACCGTCATGTTGCTCCTTGTCATGGGGCCCAGGATGGGTTTTGTCCAATTTTTCGTCTGCAGGTTTGTCTGATGATTGGTGTGCAGCCGGTCGTTTGAGCACCTTATGTCCTGCCTTCTTTGGTTTCCTTTTCTTCCCAGCACCGTACATGGCGTCAGCCAAACGCTCATGGAAACGCGTGGGGAACTCCAGCTCCCTTTCTCCTTTCTGGGGCAGCTCACCGAAGGCAGCCAGCAATGGGGCCATTGCTGCTCCAATGAGTGGCACTGGATAGGCATTTCCTGCTGCCTTGACTTGTAAGGCTTGGCTGGAAGCGAATTGTTCGGCGACTTCCACGTTGAAACCTTGCAAAACAAACCGCTCATGCGGATGCAAGAAACGGAAGTGTGTCCGTTTCTGATCTGGGAGGCCCACCTTCATGTCTGACACAAACAGGTATGAATTCGAGGTGGTCAATGTTGGTGTACGATTGACGCTGATATGCCGCCTGTATGTTTTGCCATCTGCGCGGTCCAGTGGGAAGCAGACAACGTCTGTCTCTACGAGGCGACCTTCCTGCAAAAGTTTCCGCAGTTGTTCTTGGCTGTCTTTCAAGTTTTGGGCCATGCGCTTTGTGAGCTTCTTACGGTCCACACAAGGCATTGACGCCAGAAAGTCTGTCAACACTCTGTGGCCAAATGGGGGTAGTGGAGGTGGCACCGCCCCGCTTGGGCACAACGTGCTCCGGATCCCACGCAAGAACACACGCGTTCTGTCCTGCGCTAGCTTGTAGTCCACCGCCTTGAGGGTGTCCACCTGCCAGAGAAATTCCTGCACTTCTTCTTGCAAAATGTGCAGAAGCTTTGACATGAAACTTTCTTCGCCACCTTGGCGGTGTAAAATGCCTTGGACATTTTCCAAGATCGCTGCTTGCAGCTCACCACACTTGGCTAGCGAAGCCACTATATTCACAATAGCCAGAAAAGCTTTTGCTCGGAAGTCTTCCACACCTTTCTTGTTGCCATTTCCTGCCCAAGGCGGGCATGGCGGGCCACTGCAAAGCACATGCACTGGGCGCTCCAAGTCCGACAGCTGGACCTGGACAATGTCACCATTGTGCTTTCCGAAATGAAGAGGCGAGCCTTCTTCAACCATGCCCTGCCAGTACTCCTTGTATCGCGTCTCCAGGTCGTATACGTTGTTTGGTGTAAAGGGCACCCCCATAGCTCGGAGTGACCAACCAGCACCGTCTATTCCGCAGCATGGCATTGCTATGTGGATTGGCTGGGCGAGCCTCAGCTGTGGAAATTCTGTTTTCCAGTCATTGGGTTCGGGAACTAAAACCTCCGACCCCATCTTCAAACCAAAACAGCTAATGCTTTCTTGAGCCGTGCTTGCTGGGTATATACACTGTGGTGTTTGTAAGTATGTGTGCAGATGTGGGCCAAAGAAAAACAGATGCTTCAGCTATTTTCCTGCTGTTGCATTTGTCAAAATGCACATTGTGGTTGGGAAAGTAGACCTGTTGACATGCGCCAAAGCTGACAAGCTGGAAAAAGCCTTGTAAGCCCAAAGAAAAGCAGATTGTTCATTTTTCTCTTTCTTGCAAAAATTGCATCATATACTAGATTGCACTGCGCATCACGTGGGCAAGCCTCACGGTTTAATTAAACTAACTGCCGCCGTTCATGGCTCGTGCGTTTCGGGGGGGCTCTGGAGGAAAGCGCCTCATTGGGGTCCCGGATATTTGCAGAGAAAGCAAACCCATCGATGCCAGCGAGTGCCATGGGTTACCCATTTGCACTTGCACGTGCCATCCTTTTCAGACAACTGGGACAACATCCAGTCTGTGTATGCAAGCTCATAGTCGATCGATGGATTCTCAGGGAATTGCTGGGTGTCCTCGCCCACCTCTATGTCTCTGTCTTCCCAAAAGTCGAGGGTCAAAGTTTCAGCGCCCATTGAAAC